ATCGTCACCTTCCAGGCAAAGTATCACAAGCGCCATGCGACGTTTAAAAATTTCCGCCGCCATTTTATTTTTTTACAGAGAAATTGTTCAACGAAGCTGTCCGAAAATTTCACTGAATTTTCTTTGTGCTGACGATAAAATTTAGTGAAATTTCCAAACAGATTCAACCAACAATTTCTCAGTAAAAAAATAAAATGGCGGCGGAAATTTTTAAACGTCGTATGGCGCTTGTGATACTTTGCCTGGAAGGTGACGATGTGAGCAGAGTGAAGGAAGGAAGGCTGCAAAAAAGATGCTTGACTGGGTGGGTTCCTCCTGGGAGGAGATAAAAAGGATGCTCAGTGAAAGGGTTGCGGACATGGGGTTGAATAAGTAATTAAGGATCATCAGCCTTCAGAGGGGCTTCAGGAGGATAGGGGTAAGAGGGGTTTAAGTGGCTCAAAGCGCTGAAGAGCGCCCCAATGTAATAATTATCACAAATGAAGAACTGATTTTCTTATCACCTTAAAGCAACATCTCAAGAAGAGAATCAAATTTTCTAAACTGTGTGTTAGTTTTTGTAATTTACACGTTTTAAATTGTCTGTGTAGGAGGAAGAAGTTGGTACAGAAGTCATCAAACAAGAAGCAGAAAACACAGACCCTGCATATTGGGTGAAGCTTCTGAGACATCACTACGAACAGCAGCAAGAAGACATTTCCAGAACCCTCGGCAAAGGCAAACGAGTGCGCAAACAAGTCAATTACAATGATGGAGGGGCTGCCGATACTCGCGAAGATAACACCTGGCAAGAGAATCTCTCCGATTACAATTCAGACTTCTCAGCTCCATCAGGTCAGACTTTGATCATATTTTCTGCTTATTATTTTTGGCACGTGTGGAGTTATGATTTTATGAACTCAATTCTATTTTTTAATGGGTTTGTTGGACACATGAGATCCAAATATCTATATGAACACTTGTGTGTTGCTGCATGAACACTCAGACTGACAGTTTTGCATTTTCCCATGATGTTAGATGGACCAAAGACTATGTAATGAGCATCAATCAAGATTAGGAATATGCTTGCTGTTTAGATTCAAGCTTATTCATATGTATGTATCCTCAAACCATCACAGTTTTTAAGATATTTGCTGGGTTGTATCTCCTTCATTTAAAAGTGTTCCGAGTGAAATATTTTGCACTCCGAAGTACAGGATCAGGACAATTATTCTGCATAAAAAGAAAAGAAAAAAAAAGGGAATGACCAAGCTATTAGTTTCTGGATCAATGGGGGCAGGACAAGGGGGATGATTCAATTTTGTGGCCACCGCCCCGGCCTGCAGATACAGGAATCCATTTTTTGGGACACAAAAAAGTGAGAGAAGCACAATTCTGGGCTGCCGTTTATTTTTCTGATCTATGTTTTTCGTGACATACTGGCCTAGGCCGCTTTTGGAAAAGACCTGCCGTTCACCTGCAATTTCTGTCTGAATTCAACTATACAAATTAAGATTAGCTCTTTGAAGCTGCTGATTTATCATTCCTCAAGAAGTTTATTTATTAACTATTTTCCTTTTATTTCAGATGAAGATAGAGATGATGATGACTTTGATGAAAAGAACGATGGTAAGTCCTCTTTTTTGCTTTTTCTCTGCAGTCTAATGTTTTTAGTTTTAAATTTTATCAAAATTATTCACACACAATACTTACCTTTTCTAATATCACTAATTACTATGCAATTTAGCTCCTATAGTTTTCAATCTTCAAACTTGCGCTCGTAATAGAACAGGCTTTATAATTTTTCTCGTATTATTTAGGGTGCTTTAAAGTTTCCTCCACATTTTTCAGAGCCCTCTAAAGTTTCCTTCATGAAATATAGTACCATTATAATGTAAGTACCCTAAAAACATAACAATGTGCGCTTTACATTTTCCCTCTTATGAAAGTTTCTGAACTAGTTTCTTGTTGAACTTTCCAATCGA